TTCGCCCGGTATTAGAATATGCACTGATTGCCTGGTTCCCCCATACGCAAACCAATGTCAACATCCTCGAAAGTGTTCAGAGGAAAGCGGTAAGATTTGTTCACCACAAGTATGGTCGCTTTGATTCCCCTACGGAATTGCTGAAAAGATCCAGCCTACTGACCATTGCTGATCGCGCAAAACTAGGAAGACTCAAATTTTTGTACCTCCTTTTAAACGAAGCCTTTAAAATGGACAAGAACAAGTACGTGAATTTTTCCCAGGCAAGAACAACAAGACATAAACACTGCAATACATTAACTGAATACTTTTAGGTACTCTTTCTTTCCTTCAGCTGTAAGTGATTGGAACAGCCTTGATCCGCTGTTTTTTAACTACACAAATGTGGATGCGTTCATTCAAGCTCTTGAACAAGGTCTTCTCAGCAAGTTCATGAGTTAGTTATTTCTGTTATGTTCTGTGTTGTTTGTTTCAATATGAAAGGAAGTGACGATTTCTAAGAATTACTGTTTTTCGCGCGCCTCAAAAATTGTGTGTGTTGTTTTTCTTTGCACCATACCTGCTTTAATCCCTCTATGGGGATTGGCAGTATTTTGAAAATAAATAAAATAAATAAAATAAATAATTCCCGAATCGTTCCTTTTTTTTGGGTCGTTCGAGACATTCTAGGTGTGCGCCACAAACTTTCACGCCAATTTTGAGGATGTTTATAAGTTATATCCAAATGATTGAGAGCAGGCGTTTGGGGTGGACAATACGGCATCCCGATTATCACAGAACGCGATGACAAGTCTCGTCTGCCAGAATGGCTTGCCGGAACGTCGTGTCCTACTTCGGGGCGAGTGGTCTTACTTTGGTCAGTGTATCCATCCTGATGCAGGGGCGTAGACCACGGCGTCTTGAAGCACCACCTCGCGCATCAGGCTTTCGCGAGTAAAACCAGTCAGAGCAAATTCCCTTTCGCAACACGACCGCCAGCAAGAAGCCACGACCACTACGAGCAATCGAGGGACGGGAACTGCGGGAACGATCAGTGGCCGCCAAGCCCTTCTTTGAAGGTCGAGCGTCGGAGCGAGCCACGGGAGAAGTTGGAGGAAGGCTAGAAGGGTGGGGAAGAGAGGAGTCTTGGGGAGTGGTATCGCGATACTGTAACTCGTTGCTTTTTTTGGTAACTTTTAACTGTAACTCGATAGATTTTTTTTTCAGTAACTGTAAAGATAAATTATTATTATTATTATTATTTTTTTTTTGCAAACAGTAACTAGAGCTATCTGCAAAAATACAAATACTTTTTGCGAAAAAAAAAAATGACCCTATTTTGTGAACACTACAGGAATCAAACCATGGGCGGAGGGTGGACCTCACATTAGACACGACAAAATAAAACAAGAACTCGAAACTTTTTTTATCCGAGCAAACTTCCGGAGCAGAGGGCAGGCGTTTTTCTGTTTTGTTTCTCTTTTTTCACTGCGCGGAAATTCGCCTTCAGCATTTGCTTTATTTCAACATTTTTGTGCGGGGCCCTCTCGCCCCGTCTTCACCCTTTCCGATGTCATCGAACAGCCCCGCCTCATCAGCCAAGCGACAGAGCCACCTCGCGGAAACACGCGACGCGTAGACACCTAACGGTGAACTGTTTAACGTTGGATAGAACAAACTAAAAAGATAGGCGAAACACATTTCGAGGCAACTTTGTGTTGCTTTTGTTCACTCCTTGCTTTACCTTTTTTTTTATACTAACGGTCTTTTCGACTTTATTCAGTTGCAAGTGGTTTAGCCTTCTGCACCCCTCCCTATTATTGTAATAGACTCATCTGTTCATCAGTATCCCCATTTCCTGTCAGCTGAGGAAGGGGAATAAGAGAGCTCTTAAGAGAAAGAGGAATGGTTAGTGAATGTTGCAAGAAAGAAGGCAAATATTTGGATTGTAGTTAACCGGTATCGCTCAAACGAGATGCAGTCCTGAGTGACGAACGGCAGGTGTTACCGTGGCCCGGCTATTGAATTGCACTTTGACCTTGTCGAATATAGCGGCGATAACTTCAGTGCTCGCTGCAAACACTGCAAAAGAGTCTACGCAGACGGGAAGTCCTCTTCCTTCAACCTTCACAAGCCCCTCGGGGTGAGGTTCGACTTTCATTTCTGGACATTACCGCTAGGCATGGAGTCGGAACGATGGAAGGCTGAAACCTCGACAACGCTCTCCAGCCTCAACGACGTTCCCACCATTGGGAAACCTTTTTACGCCTGAATACTGCACTCCCGTCTTGCATATATCCGTTGAGCGCCTCTTTAGCAAGGAAAATTATGTGCATCGAAAAGGAGAAGTTAAGTGATGAAAACTTTGTAAGGTATTTTCGGCTGCGTTGCATGAACTAAATAATTTATTATTTAGTCCACCATGTTTTGAAGTAGCATTGACTCAACAAAGTCGTGCGACGGTAATAATATATATCTCAAAAAGTGAAATGAAAGTTTTCTGAGAGTTCTTAATAAATATAAATCGTAGGCATCGTGTGTGTTTATCAATGTCTTCGTAGTTGAATTTAAGAAAAAAACTAAAGTATCTTCAAAGTAACTAAGTTACTATAATGAAGTAACTGTTACACGCTACATGTATTTTTAAGTAACTGTAACTTAAATGCATTTATGACAAATTATCTGTAACTGTAACTAATTTCTTTTTGAAAGTAACTTACTCTAAGACTGGATCTACTGAGGTTACAATCTGGCGAGGAGGATAAGTTTGTCTCCGAGAGATGTTCCCCGGTGGGACTGTTTGCGGCGCTTCAAGTTCAAGGACAAACAAGAGCCTGTCCGTCGTCAATCGTTTGTCGGCGCTTGTCGGCGTTTTTCGTGAGTGTTGGTCGTTGCAGTGGGATAGCATCAGCGACACGTAACTTTGGGGTGTCGCCGGACAAAAATCGGTTTTTGTCCCTCTAGTGGGACGAGACTATTATTAAACACACAATCACAAACGTAAAGAGCTTTAGTGTATATTTAAAGCTTTGACGCTTGTTTATAAAACGTCAGCGTGAAAATGATTGCTTTGAGTGATGTTTAATTGGCTACTCACCGAAGAAACAGCGAAAAATAGCCGCCGGCGCCGGGCACGGCAGCAAAAAGTTTGTTTGCAGCACGTGATTCCCCTCTGCCAATCCTGTTCGTCCCTCTGAGCGTTCTCTATAGCTTCGCTTCGTCTCTTTCTACAATCCCTACGCAAAGCCAGCTTTTAGCTAGGAGCGTGACTGTAAATCGGTGCTAATCTTGGTGCAACCGGAATTTAAACCCGTGCTTAGCTCGGTTTTGGGCGCTAATCCGCCTTAGGAAATACCCGCTTTCGGTTAAGGTAAGTGACGTTGGTGCAACCGGCCCTTAAAGACCGACGACCATTTCGCGCTTTCCACTTTTCCCTCGCTTCCTCCTCTCCCCCCTTCTACCCTGTCCACCGTTGCCTCTTTCCTCCTCCCCCATAGGGAGGAGGATCTTCTGCCTTGCAGAATCTCGGGTCTGGTCGTCGGCCTTTAAGACCCGTTCACACACTTGCGACTCCTTGGAACAGAGAGCCTTAAAACCTCTAAAAATCTCTTAGGACGAGAGAACCCACTGACTCACTGGCGCCTTCTATGCGGTGATCCTGGAACTACTTTTCATTTGAGTGAAGGTTTGGCGCCATTTGCGAGGTCAAATATACTTAGATAAATGTTCGTTTAGAACATTTACATAAGGTTTTCAAGCCAAGAAAGAAAAAATGATGCGCCAAAGAAATAGAAAATATTCTGGACCGCCAAGTGTTCCATTGCTACCCGATAGGTGGTGCCAGTGTGTGCTCTCGTCTTAAGAGATTTTAAGACATTCGGTACTAAGACGTCGCAAGTGTATGAACAGGGCTTTAGGGGTGAACGGAGTGCAGGAGGCGCCAACCCCCAATAGAAGGACATATTCCACTAGGGTCTAGAACATTTCGGGGGAGGTCTTTTCGGTGTATATCCTTTAAAATCCTGGTTATCGTTTGACTGTCTCGTCTCTGAACGTACGTCGCATATTTTAGTACTTACGTTGCTTATACTTACATCTTCATAGAATACTTGTGTTGTCCTTCGCTATGAATAACTTTCATAATTGCCTCTACAAATAGCAATTATTTTAGTTGCTATGTTTATTAATCGAATGACTAAGAGATTATCTTCGGCTTACTTGACCCCGCTCGCCACTCTGTTTCTAGAATATATATATGTGGGGACTTTTTTAATGCCATCGTTTTGCCTAACATAATCTAAAGCTAACAGAATCTCATCCCTTAGATTGCGTTAATGCTTGTCGCTAAAAAAACACGCGACTTTTTTTTTTTTTTTAAATGTATTGGTTGTAAAATGTATTACATGTATGTTTAGCTTCTCAAAATTACGTCCTACACAACTGTATTAAGATATCTTTCGCTGTATTAAAATGACTGAATATATCATTGCCACATCAGAGACGCAATTAATTTTATTTGTTGAAGTTTATATTTATTATATTTTATAATGGACAAAACAGAGAGCTAAACTAAAACAAATATGCACTCCCTATTGGTACGTACATCTCGCACCTTTCATGCATCAAAATATTAAAGCTTACAAAGGTCTCCAATGTCCGCTGGAGGTTTAATTTCATATTTACATTTCATATATTTAACACATCATATTTACACCGAAACGTCCGTGCAAAGAAACGTCCGTGCACCTAAAAGACCGCACTGAGAAGTCTTTCACCAATATGTTTGGATCCCATTCCTCTATAAGTTTTCTTCCAGCGGGACCCTTCCTTCCCTTTTATTCTCGCGTCGTACGATGGAAGATCGGAGATGGTTCTTCATGCTCGTTATGATAGGAGTTCAAATGTCTTGAAGAAAAATTACAGTCCGATATAGTGTTTTTGTTGTTCTTGTTTGCTTTAGTTCAACAGGAGTAAGGCACTGTGTAAGAGTATACATATTTTCCTACTCAATTTGCATTCAGATCGTTGTGGTCCGGGGCTACTCCACTGTGGAGACAGGCAGTGCATCGACATAACACAGAGGTGCGACTCAAGGCTGGACTGCACGAATGGAGCCGATGAACAGAACTGCTGTAAGTATCATCTTTTATTTATTTATTACTTTAATGCGAGAGCGTTAGGAGCTCGATCGTGTCACAGAAAAGCCGGTGTCAGCGGCAGCGGGATGGGAAAATCCTGATTGTTCAATAGGATCACGCCGACTAGGTCAAATATGACTGCGAGGCCACAGGCCTCGCAGTCATATTCGTAGCAGGATGGATGTCTCAGGTTGTAGAGTGTGCCATGTGTAAATGCCCGAGTTGGCAGCTGCCTCCAAGACACTGCTTCTTCCCTGGATAGCTTTGATTGGGTTGGTGGATAGACCCTTCTCCTGATTTGGTAGTATTCTAGTATTTCTGCACTTTTGGAGACGCCTTCATCCGGGCTCAACAGGGCTCGACCGATAGGCAGGAAGATCCGGAGAGTATAATCTCGAGCCAAGGCGTGGGCCGTCTTATTTCTCGCCAGGTTCACGTGCCCGGGGTCCAAGCTATCTGGATTTCCAGAAGTTCTCTGTTTTTTGTCAGAATCTGCAGAACCGCTGCTGCCACTGTCCCCCGCTGGAAATTTCTGCAGGCTGCCTGTGAGTCCGTGATTATTGTGAGGCGTTCCCTGCTCATCGAAGCCGCCAAAGCGGTGACCGTTTCTTCCGCCGCTCCTGTCTCTTGGGTCCTGACCGTCGCTGCTGCCACCTACTCTCCGCTGCCGTCCACCGCGCAGACTGCATATGCTCCTTTCCCTGAATATTTGACTTTATCGGTTAATCTTGTGGATTCCGCTTTTTCTTCCGTATCGTTTCCTGAAAGCTTCCACCATTGCTCTCCTCCACTCCCTGTTACGTTTCGGATGCATATTTCTCGGGATGTGGGCCACCCTTCTCTTGTTTCTCAGGTCCAACTGGATCCTCCGTTTGCTCCTTTCCAGCGTGGCTATGCCCGCGGCCTTGAGGTTCAGTCCTTCCAGCTGGTTTGTTTTGTGGTCCTCCAACATTTCCTCCCACAACTTGTAGACCCCAAGTTGCATGACCCTCTCCGTCAAGGTTTTTGGAGGTAGCCCCAATGTCAGCTGGCAGGTCTTTCTGATGAGCCTGTTAATCTTCTCCTTTTCGCTTTTTCGAAACCCCAAGTACGGAGTTCCATCTGTTATGGTAATGACCACCAAGGCTTGCACCAGTCTCAGTGAGTTCTGCTCCTTGAGTCCGCGCTGGCGGTTGGCCACCCTCCTCACTAGGTGTGTGACTTGGGAGACCGTCTCTTGTAGTCTCCGCACTGCGGTTGTTCCCGCTTCATCTCCTTGTAAATTCAGCCACAGGATCCGGATCGTATTGACCTTTGGGATGGTGACTCCGTTGAGGGTCAGCTCCGGGTCCTGCTCCTCCGGTGGTGGCCTCCCTCTTGTTCCTTTCTTCAAGATTAGCAGCTCTAACTTGTCCGGGGCTCACGCCAGACCGCAGTCTCTCAGGTATGTTTCAGTCCTAAACACCGCCTCCTACAAATCGTCCTGCTTGGTTCCTGCTTAGCCGGCCGTTGTCCACATAGTCAAATCATCGGCAGAGATGGCGTGATTGATTTATTCAATGCCCTTCAACCTCTCCGCTAGACCCCTCATCACAAGGTTGAAGAGGAATGGTGAGACCACTGACCCCTGAGGAGTCCATCTTTGCGGGATCTTCAACTTCTTCATCTTTGAGACTCTGTTATACACCGACGGTGAGCGTACACAACGTAGCGCAGAACGCGCTCCTTTCATTGGCCGGCGATTTGGAACTTAGTATCTGCGAGCAATGATCATCTTTGTCCACTGCGCTATGCCGCGTTTCATACGCTCGACGTCGGAGTATCACAAAGCCTTTAGGCTACCAAGTCCCAACGTCGCCATCCAGTCTGCAAAGAAGTGTCGTACATAATTGTAGGCCTTCTCTCTAGAGCCAGTCCCTTGTAGGCTCCTCAGCGCCGCCGCGTGGGAAACTTTGTCAAAGACGTCCTTCGCATCTAGGGCTAGGATGGTGATCTTGCTTCTAGGGCTCAGGTTGTCGATGACTTCCTCCTACAACTGCAAGAAGACATCTTGCGTCGACAGATGGGATCTGAAGCCGTACATGGTACTTGTGAAGTGGCCTCTCTCCTCCGGATGGTGCACCAGTCTGTAATGCGCCATGTGTTCGACCAACTTCCTCACGCAGGATGTCGGAGTTATCGGTCTCAGATTGTGGATGACTATCGTTTTGCAAGGTTTGGGTATCATTGTCACACCTGCATGTTTCCAGATGGACGAAATGCTCTCAGTATACCAGCTTTCGTTTACATGTCTTAGTAGGCAATCGACCATCTTGCCATCCAGGTTTCTGAGTCTTGTTTTTGATTGGATTCCGTCCTGGTGCCGTGTTTCTCGCCAGCCCTCCCAGAGCAGCCTGCATCTCAACTCTGGTGGAGGGTTCTTCCAGCTCTGCGTTGTCTTCTTCCTCGTAACCTGGGTAAAATATCGTGCCTTGTACGGGGTGCTCACCGAAGACCTTTTTCACCGTCTTTAGTATCTCCTCATTCTTGCTCGGGAAGTTGTGGATAAGTTGCTGGATCTGCTGTCGCGAGGTTGCATTGGGCTCCGCCCTGTTCAGCAGGGAGCCTGAGGATTGCCCGGGTTCTCTTTTTGCTCAAGGTGTCCGGCAGCTGATCGCACACTTTGTTCCAGTTTTGCCTCCCCAGTCGTTTGGCGTACTCCTCCGCCTGCTTGTGATCGGTGCGAACTTGGCCTTGAGTTTCTGATCTATTTTCTGCCGCTTCCATCTTCTCAGAAGTCCTTGCCTCACCTCCCACAAGTGAAGCAGGTGAGGGATCACCTCTGGGTTTTCTGTCGTGAGCAGGATTATCTTTGTGTGCTTGGTCACGGCTCCAACCACTTTCTGCGTCTACTCCTCGATGTCTGCCAGCTCCCCGGCGACCTCCCCCTTCGAAAAGGCCGGCCATATTGTGATTTTGCCGTCGTTGCCTTCATTCGGTGCCCATGACAAAATGCTGTATGAAGGGAAGGGGGGAGAGGAGGCCCCATCAAAATGGGAGATTTCGGGGGGGGGGGGGGGTGCCCATACCCCCCCCTCCCCCCTGGCTACGTGCCTGTTCGGACGTAGTCTGAATAGAGGAAATACTACCTATTTTATGTTACGCTCATGTGAGGTCAGAATTTAAACCACTGCTTTTTGAAAGAATGAATAAATGTGAAGATTTGAAAACGGTGCGTCGTTATACTACATAAAAGGTCGTTTCATAAATAAATGCCCAGAAACAACTCAAGCTGCATCCCTCCACACTGGTTGTATTTCCCCGTGTTATTTTTTTATTTAGCGATCTATTGCAATTACCCTATTTTAGTTTTGGCAGGCAACGCCTCACGGTGTTAAGAGGACGTTTTTATATATTAAGAATAAGTTCTGCTAGTGAACTGCAGAATTACCGCATGCGGATAAGGCATCTCAGCATACTTCAGTTAAGTGAATGTATTGCACATGAGTGAACGCTCGTTTCTTAATTGGTAGGTGAGCTTTTCTCCGCACACGTCAAAAGATCGGTGAGCTTTTCTCCACATCGAGCAATGGAACGGTGAGCTTTTGTCCGGTGATATTTTCTCCGGTGCGCTTATCTCCGGTGATCTTTTCTTTGGTGAGCGTTTCTCTGCTGCCCGTAGTTCAGAGTCTACACAAAACAAAGGCTTGTTAACAACGTTCCCGTGTTTTAGTGTTGTTGATGATTCTTTTATTAAGCGCTTCTGATAATTTTTTCTCGCAAGTCTACTGAAGTTAGACCCCACAGCGGTACACACGTTTTACATTCAGCTATCCGTTTATATATTTCTTAGTATAGGTCCTTATGTTTTACTCAGTGGTTGTGTTATAATAGGTGGTCATTTATACAACGTTTAGTTTGCCCGATATAACGCAGGCCACAATCAAAGGGTATCCTGTGCTCAATTCCTGACACACACTCCACATCTTTTCCTCCATGTCCCTTCACAATCTGTATTTGTCGAAGGGAACGGGTCATACAGCTCAGCCTATAATCTGTGTGAAAGACGGTGCTAATATTAAACCTGTTGGCTAGTGCTTTGATGTTGTGGGATATTCTGTGAAAGTTGGGAAGGACTGCTCGTTTCGAAGGTTTAGTACTTTTACACTACCTTTTTTTGGAGACACCAGATAAACCAACTGTCTTAAAATATACTCGCAAGGATACCTTGCAATTCTGAACCGCTCTAAGAAGAAGATGTAGAGATCAACTAAGTAAATGAGAACGGGACTTTTGAACTTGACTTTCGTAACATACTGAACAGCGTGCTGCTATTTTTAAAACTAAATTATTATCATGCTAGCAGTTTTCAGAACTGGCATGCCAAATCATGTGGATGTTATGTATAAATATTTATAAAACAGTAAATCATGGAACAATTTTTTTTTTGAAACTTATGCAGAGCATACAATGGGCTCAGATAGATATCTGGACGTTTTTTGGAACAGTCCGAAGTTTGCTGATTGTGGAAACAATTTTAAATACCAAGAAAATTCGGTATCATGCAGATTTTGATGTGGGAGATTGCTCTATTTTCTTCATTAAAAAAAAAAAGAAAAGCAGAGCAAAAAATACGCGAAGAAACAAGTGGGAAAAAAACAAGTAAACGAAGTGCACACTTTCACTAGCCAGATTAAAATAATAACGGAAAATATTTTACCGGTGGTCTTTTTTTCTTCTGACGTACCTCGGTAAGTGGTCTGTTTGGTCCCCGAGATAAGTATGTGTGCCCCTAACGGTCAGAATACAAACGGACTCGTGAAATTTTATTGATTGACTTGCAGTAGTTCGTTTCCATGCACACGCAGTGCATTCCAGAACTGAATTTTCTGATAGATAATTACGAAATTTCTTGGAACAATGGAACGAAACATTTTAGTGCAACATCGTCGAAGTCTTGTGCGTTGTGTGTTCGTTAATTCCGAACCCTTCTGAACGTAGTCTTACCAAATACGTGCGTCCTAAGCGTATTTCTA